ACAAGGTGACACACCCCATACCATGTGTTACATCAAGATATTAGTGACAAAGGGATAAGAGTTATACAAATAGGATGTGTCGTTGAAGGAATTGCTCCAAGAGCTTTATATCTATAATTTGGGGGTGACAATGTAGGTCTAGATACCGCTTATCACTTGTAGTATTTTATATGTTGACAAAATATGTTATCTATATAGTATATGTTTCGTATATATATGTATATATATAATAAATGTTATATTATTTCTTTTGTGTTTATTACGTGATAATTGAAGTTGAAAAAATTAATTGAAAGCTTCCTTAAAGTGCTATTCAAAACTACCAAAGTGGAATAGGGATGAGATTTGATTTCTTTCCTAAACATTAAAAGGTACATTCCCATTAGGAATATGAATAAGAATTTTGCTCCTTATCAAAAGAAGATCATCCCACCCTTTTTTTATCACTTGTAATTTCGGCCCTCTCAAAATTTTAAGAGACAAAATTTTTATTTTGTTCTCTTAATACTTTACACTAAATATTTTATATTTTAGAAATATTCTAGAGAAAAATTACTAGCATAATTTTCTCTAGAACACTCTTCATAGTTCGTGTGTCTCAACTGGAGGCCATATACTTTTGTGGCTAGCTCTTGGATCAATCTCTCAACCTACACATATAGTTACTTGCTCGCCAAGAAAGGTATGTTTTCTTCAACAATAACTTATAATAATCATAAGAGGTTTTGGGTGGATCTACGTTTGGACACCAAAATTTTGTTTTCCGCTGCCCAATCCAAGCGTAGAACCCTACAGATCTTGAGAGTGCACTTCGGGGGAGGCGTCCTCCTCCCAATTTCCGGCTTCCTGATTCTTCTTGATCGGTTAAGAAGTATAAGCAGAAAAGGATTGATGATCGATTTAATCAAGATAGGCCTGCAAAAAGAAATAGAAGTGATATCATAGATGAAATTATTGATTATAACCCCATTATCTATGTCTATATTTTCAAAAAAAATAATCATGTTTTGCACTTTCCAGAGGTTCCAGATTATCACGTTGGGAATGAGCATTATGAGATCATTTTTTTAAGATTTTGCTTTGTCAAAGCATTGTTCTAAAAGATCAATGGTATTATCCCAATACCAATGGTTATCCTAAAAAAGGAGAGTCCAGACCAGAAAAAATTCTAAATCGCGGTACTCTTAGGGCAATCGATTAAGAAGTGATTAATGGAATCTTCATGAGCACAAAAAGACATTTAAAGGGCCCTGAAACCCAAATTTGGTGAGCTGGTTGCCAAAGGCAAGTAAGTTGTTTGCCACTCTCCAATTGAGAAAGGAAATTTTCTTTGGAAATCACGTAGCCCATATGATCTTTGTCCATTTTGAGTTCGATACGACAGTCTCTAATCTTATTGTAAGCACTCTTAATGGTGAGAGTTCCATCGTGACCCGGGATCCTGGCATATTCATCCTGACCTTCGGTGAAGTTGATCTGCAAGCACAACAACTTGAAAGCAATATAAGATGGAAAGAGGTTAGCGATGAGCGGATCAATTTTACAATTCTCAAATGCCTCCGCAATAGTCAGATTGCTATGATTAGATTGCTATGATTGATGTCCATTTCAGTAAACTATTTAAGGCATCCTTCCCCACTCCAATTAATGTGCCAAAAGTTAGTCCCCCCACTTTTAATACAAACAATTAGGTTGTGCATAAAGTGGGATTCTGCCTTAGAGAGAAGGGGCCAAAGAACAAAATGGAAAGGATTATGAAGATGATTGAAGAAAGTGGCCCAAAGGCCCAAGCTGGGTCTACTTTTTCACCACCATTTCATAGCAAAGGATAAATGAAAGTTATTAATATCACGAAAGTCCAAACCATTTTCCTCAGTAGGAAAACACAACTTATTCCAACTCCACCACACACGCTTGGGGTTTTCTGTATTCCTATCTCAGAGGAAATGGTTGCATTTCCAACCAATTTCCTTCAGAACAGAATTTGGAATCAACCCAGAGGCCATAGCGTGGATAGGGATGGAAGATCAAACATGATTAATGAGTGTAATACGACCCCCACTAGAGAGGAGAGAGTGCTTCCAATCTGCAAGCTTGATGTCAATCTCGTGGATAAAGTGATCAAAATACATGGCATAGACTTATTCCTACCAGTGTACATGTAAGCGCCCAAGTAAAGAAAGGGAAGTGTACCTTTGGTGATACCTTTGATATGTTGAATGGAGAGAATACAACGGATAGGTGTGTGCTTATCCACATAAAGCACTTTTATCTATGTTTACCTGTTGGCCCGAGGCCTCCTCAAAGGTTTCAACAACTTTAAAGAGGTTAACAATAGATCTTTTTGTACGATTAGAGAAGATGACAATATCACCAGCATAAAAAAGGTGAGTGAAAAATGGGCATTCCAATTTTAGAGTGAAAAGGGGTGGATAGGTCATCAAGATTGATATTAGAGATATTTCTAGAAAGAGCTTCCATGACCAGAATAAAAAGAATGGGGGAGAGAGGATCACCTTGCTTAACACCACGTTTAGAAGGGGAAAAACCGCACGGTTGGCCATTAACTAAAATGGAAAACCAAGTGCCAACAAGGTTATTCATAATAAGATTGGTAAAAGTAGTATGAAATCCAAACCTGTTAAGCACCGCCATAAGGAAGTTCCAGTCAACCCTGTCAAAAGCTTTGCTCATATCAAGTTTAAATATAACATTACGACCTCTAAGTTTTTTATCAAGAAGGTGGGTGATCTCACGTATGAGAAGAATATTATCACTAATCTCTTTCCCTTTTGAAAAGCACTTTGCTACTGTGAAATGAGTTTACCATGAACAATATTGATGCGATGAGTAAGAATCCTAGTAAAGATTTTATTGATAAATTACTAAGGCTAATGGGTTTGAACATAGCAAAAGAAGAAGGTTGGTGATCTTTGGGAATCAGCACGACGAGAGTGTGACCAATACTCTTCGGAGCATTAGAGATGTAGGAAATTACAAAGGAGTGGCAACTCTTCTTATCTTAGCAGCCCTTTTCTCATTAGGAGTGGCAACTTCAAACTTGGAGAAAAGTTCAATATTTACAGGAAATGAAGAGTTTCATCGATGTTATTTTTCAAGAAAGATTTGATTCTACGATAGACTTAATGCTATACTGGCAAAAAAAACATAAAAACAAAATGCTTCCCATATATAAATGGACGAACGGTATCTCAAAATTCCGCATTCTGGCCATTTGATCCGGATGGTGGCATGCCATAAATGACATTAGAAAGTGCCACTGCACCTAAGGTAGAACAAAAGGGGTTCTTATAGTATAGTGATGGCTTTCATCACACTCCTTGGCACGCACCATCAATCAGAAAGTCTATTCCTATAGAGTTAGGGCCTGTTTGGGAATAGCGTTAGAGATTAGCGTTAGCATTTTGGATAAAATTTTAACGGTGCAGATTACTTTGAAAACAGTAACGATAAACGCCGGCCGTAGATAGCCTTTTCAAAACGCTAACGCTAATCTCTGAAAATATTCCCAAACAGACCCTTAGTTTACCATTACTGCTTGTATTACTCCGTATTAGATTTGTTTGTTAAACTAAACTTACCATATTTAACTTCTTTGAAATCATTCATATATTCAGAGTACGAATTGGATTAAATCCAGTAAAACATACTCCTTCATCCCCACCCACGTTATTTACTTCTCGTGGTAGTGTTCATATCTGTAGGCAAGCGTTAATTTCTTCTTGAATTATTTTTTGAACTCTTCTAAATCTTTTTCCTTGTTGTTCGTGAAGTTTGGGCGCTCATTTTCATTGGTGGATTTTTTGAATTCCATTCAAATTTTAGCTTTATCAGTGTTGCCCAATTTTTAAACACTGCTCATATTCATCGCAATTCCGATGTGTGGAGGACTCCTTTTGCATCTAAATTCGGGCTCCGAATCGAAGATCACAAGGAGGAAATATAAGGATAAGAGTCAGCCCCCTCATCGTGAAATTGAGCATGGAGTCATGAAGATGAACGTGAGCAAAGGACACCTCAAAGAAGCTTAGCTTGTTCTAACTACGACCAAGGGTGGTGGTGTAGCTACTGACACGAGGGAATTGGATGACGATGGTGCTCAAGGATGGGCATTTGTGACATTTTAAATCTCACATTGGTTAGTGTCTCAAAACAAAAATGGACGAACAGTCAGGAACGGTAAGAGTAATATTTTGTGTTGTTGCAATCAGACTCCTTTTAAAAAGAGTTGGTTCCATAATCAGTCTTTTATAATAGGGGATTCCCACATTTAGTCCTCTATTATTAAATATTACTCAATAATCCTTCTTTTATGGGTGTCTTTTCACAAATGGTCTTTTTTTAATCTTCTGCCATGTTAGTATTAATTCAAAGACTAAAAATATAATTTGAAATAAATCTTATGTCCGGTGACGTATTTCAATATTGGTTAGACGAATAACAAAAAGATAATGACTGTGACTGTGAACTAGGATTCCGACAAAAGACCACATATGTAGAATATAGTTGCAGTAGAAAGCAAATGTAATTCACAAATGACACATCAAGAGCGGCCTTTGGAATTTTACAAGATAAGAAAGATATATTATCATTTTGAAATTACACTTTAGTTCTCAAATTAACACCAACATGATTGACAATTAAAAAAAGACTATTTATGAAAAATACCAATAAAAGAAGAACCACCAAAGTAATATTTAATAATATATGATTAAATAGGGAAACCCCCATGTTATAGAAAATCAATTATGGTATGTTTGGGAACATGAATTTGGATTTCAAATTCGGATTTGGCTCAAATTCCATGTTTGGGAAACTTACAAATTTTGAATTTAGATTTGAATCAAATTATTCTCATTCATAACAAAGTTTAATTTTAAATCCATGCGCCTCCCCTTGTCATTTGAAATCAAAGATTTCAAATTTTAGAATTGAAATACATGATTTGAAATAAAATCCTAGTTGCCAAACACTACCTTATGGAATTTACTCTTTTATAACACAATTTTTTTGGTGTGTAGGGGTGATTTGATCATAAACAAACAATGGAGATTCTTTTGCTGTGACAAGAAAAAGGGACAGGATACTTTCACTATAATAATACAATTTGTTAAGAGAATTCAGCCTGCATGCTATACAGGGGACTTTTTCACATGATATACATATAGACTACAACATAAAGTGAAATGTGTAGCAGCAAAAGAAAAGAAAGATGGAATGATATCTGGACAAACAAGACTCTGGTTTCAAGTTAATGGCACATCCAGATCAAACAGATCAACATTTGAAGCCTCCACAAACTGACAAAACAATGATGAGAATTAAGGCGAAAATAATCCCAAGAACAATGAGCTTTATCTTCATATTCTGCAACCACATCTTCCTCCTCATCTGAGTTCCTTGTGTTCTGAAATCTTGTGCCTACAAAAAAGAAGTGCGCAGCAAACACTTTATACCGAGTTTTTTTTTTATGACAAAACTTTGTATTTGTTGCATAATTAAAAATTAAAATACACTGTCCATCTCCCAATGAAGAGAGCAAATGACAAGTTTTAGCAAGGTAATTTTTGGTGCTGGCTTTCCTAATGTGCCCTTCAATTGAAGATTTGTTGGGGAGGCGACAATTTACAGTTTTTAGGCTTAAGGGTTTTCTTGTCTATGGGTACTTCAGATACTTTCTCCGTCCTGCCAAAGTTTTCCAACTTTTTTTTTCATCCGTCCCAAAATAATTTTTTCACCTTTTCCCTTTTTTTGGGACAATTTATGTGGTCCAAAATACTTCTAAAGAACTTCTAACCGCACACTTATTTTTTGATATTTTTCATCATCATTTCAACATTTTTCTCAATATCCGTGAAGTCAAAGTGAGAAAACTAATTTGGTGCGGTGGGGGTATTACCAGTGGAGTAATATGAAAGAGCAAACTTTTTCTTTGTAACAGACGCACACCTAGAGTTAGTGATGGGGCTGGACTTATCTCAAAAAAGCCCCAATTTTGAAATGATCATTAGCCCCATAAACGTAATACTCCCATCATCCCACAAAAAGGTTTTACATTACTATTGACATGCTCAAACTATATCTTTTTTAATCACATATTCTCATTGATCATTTGACAAAATAAACGTCACATCTTGTTTTATAGAACATTTGATGTAGTTTTTAAACATGCAGTTTTTATTATTAAATTTTACACCAATTTTCATATAAACTGAATTGAAAATAATTTCAGTCAAACATCATAAACCAAACATATAAAGAACAAACACACCACATGGAAGTGCAAAGTTAAATTGAAGACATCTTAAAAAGATAAATGGGAACTTAATTGGAGGCAGGAGGGAGTATTAGACAAATCTATGGAGTTCATTGCTGTTAGCTGACTTAGTTCTCCACATTAGGATAATTTTTTTAAGTGACAAATAGGAACTTAAGATGATAATTATGATTGCAATTTCTGACCTGTGAACGAAGGTTCTCGGTTTTATCCACCAGAATCTCAATCTTCTCTCCACGGTCAAGAACCTGTATGATAAACTTTCATCATCTAACTGGAAGGAACTCTTAATTTTCATTCTAAAGAAACAAGAAATGTCTGAGAACTTTACCTTTTCAATGTTTTCCATCATCACCCCTTTGACTTCTGAAACCTGAGCTTTCACCTTTGCGAGCTTACCAATCTCCTCCGGATGGTCCACACAATACTGCATCTGCTCCTTCATCTTGGGCCTATACATAAACAACAATCCATTGTTTTAATGATTGTTACTCCATCAAACAGAATAAACTAGAGTGGAAAAGCTAGACTGTAATAGGTAATGGTGAAAGATAAGCTACCCAAACTCTTTATTCAAGCTTCCAGCAACAGCTGTAGTAGCTTTTCCTCCTCCATATTTCTTGGTAAATTCATCCTTAATGCGCTCAAGAAATGCAATGGGGATCTGTCTGCCAACAGATTCTACAGCAACCACACAGTATGCTGTTGTGTGGAAGTACAATGAGTTAGGAATGAATAAAGAAAGAGAACCCATAGGTAGTATCAATTAAGTGATTAACTAATTTATTACATGGTTTTTATAACAAGTATCTTATTTAAAAAACAAATAGGATGGGTGTGACTTATGAACCACAAAAAACCATACAGATTAAAAACCACAATCAATGATCAATTTAAGGTGAACATAAATTCCTCATAAAATTCTTCAGAGTGGCTAACTAGCATACAGCAGAAGTCAAAGAAATGGTAAAAAAAATGTAAATCAAGTATTCCATCTCGTCTAAATAGCATGCCAAATTGATCCCATTGATCATGCTGAAACCATTGCTTGCAGTCTTGCACTAGTAGTACATCCAAATTATTTCCATGAAACAGCATTGATGGGATATATATGCACTTTAGCTAGAGAAGCAATCATGAGTAGCAAAACACAGGATAAACCCCCAACTTTTATTAGATTTACAAGATCGGTAGAAGGTTACAATTTCTATAGCGAATCCAGAATTTGTTTTTTTAATTACATCATAGCTTCTTTTAGTAGCATTGTTAAATGATTATTTCCAAATTTTAAATTCTGACCCCACTGATTTGGGTCAAGGCTTGCAGCTGTTATTGATTAGGACATTACTTGGAAACATTGTTTTCAGGTAGCATTTTGGATAATTGAATACAGATTGACTTTGGAAAGGTTAAAACTAAAATATGTCATTAGAATGTCTTTTCAAAACTCTAAAGCTAAGTGCTAAAGTTGTTGCCAATTTTTAAATCCTGACCGCATTGATTTGGGTCAAGGCGTGCAGCTGTTATCGATTAGATTTAGGACATTACTTGGAAACATCATTTTCAGGTAGCGTTTTGGACAATATAATGCAGATTGACTTTGAAAAGGCTAAAGCTAAATGATGTCATTAGATGGTCTTTTCAAAACTCTACGGAAGTTGTTGCCAAACGGACACTAGGTTTGGATCTGTTTTCCATTCTCAAAATTTCCGATCTACATTTCATTTTATAAACTCTCATTTTTTCATTTTCTATTTTTCCAATTCCAGATAAAAAATATATTTTCCAAATACTGTTTTGTCATTTTAAATTTACATTTCCAGAAACAAAAGCATATGCATTAACACAAAATGATAACTTTACCACCAACCATAACATTAGTCATCAAGAAGCAAATGTCTTTGTAGGGAGGGAGTGTTGGAGACTTAGAAAGAAGTCATAGTAGACTGAAATGAAATGTTGACTGTTGGAGGCATAATAACAGACATCAAAACATTAAGGCTTCATGAGCATGTCATTGATTTCAGAAATCAGATTAAGACTTTGTTGCTGTTATTAGCTTTGTCCAAATCTGGAATTAAAGAAGGTTGCAGTCTCCAGTCTCCAACCACCCTTTTCTCCAAATTAGACATTTGTTCCTCAATATTGACATTTAAAAAATTGGGAGATCAAATCGTGTTTATTAAATATTCATAGAAAGCTAGAGATTATCTTCTGTTAGCACGTCAAAGCACTAATTCATGACATTTTGGATATAAAAATCGGATCTAAACTCCACACCTCAAATTGCAACCAAGCTGAATGAATTAATTTCCAAAAATATAACATAAATCTTTGCATATTTCATATTTGAAATGCGATCTAAAGTTCTAAGCTATTGTCCTCAAATGGAAACGACATTTAAAAAGGTTATACACTTATACATTCAGTAAACTGCGGATTAAAAGGAAGAAAAATAAAAGCAGCGCTCTCACCAAAACAGTCATCAGATAAGACGGATTCAAATGAATTGGACGGGAAAAGTCGAATCTATAGCAGCAGATGACGAAGAAGAAAACAAATGGACTTACTGAATCCATCATCAACAAGGTAGTTGAAAGTGTAGCCATCGCAGTTGTAAGTGAACTTGTTGTTCATAGAGGGAAGTTTTTGAAGGCACTGCGAAGCGATGCTGGTGAAATTTCCAGTGAACTCCGTGTACTCGGAGAGGATCACCGTGCCTCTCGCAACGAAGCTGTAGATCAACGACTGCTGTCCCACCATTTCCCACTGGTTTTCTCTCCAATCAAACCCTAGTCAATGGAGCTCTAGAGAGAGATAGAGAAAGGCGTTAAAATTTTGATTCCGGTGACCAGAGAGAAAGGGGACTCGGCTTGTTTTTTCCCTTTTTTATTCAAGCCTTTTCATTTACGTAACATAGGAAAGAAAGCGCGTGGTAGTAGACTCCATTTTACTTGGCAAAAATCGGCGCGGTATCATAGCAACTCCGTTGTCTCCGTCACATTTTGTGTTTCTAATTTCAATGCGCGATTATACTCCCTCCGTCCCAAATTATTTGCTTTTTCAATAGTCACGAGAATTTTTATTTATTTTTACGTTTTTATTGGTTATTTGATAAAATAAAATATTCTTGACACATCTTATTTCGAAGAACTTTTCATGCAGTTTTTTGATATGAAAATTTTATTTTTTATTTTTATACCAATATGTAAATAAAATGAATTGAAAAAACTTGATATTTTGTCTCGGGAATACAAATGTGGCAAATATTTAAGGACGGAGGGTGTACATTCTGTTGTACCAAATTTTGGGTACAACCAAGAAATTATTTATGCTAAAGATTTTATTTTATATGAGAATGAATACTAAGTTATTTGAAAATGAGTACTGTTTTACTTCAGAATGAACATTACATTATTTGTAGATAAATATTACAATTATATTAAACCAATGTGTGAAAATGAGTAATGCATTATTTTAAAATGAGTATCACGCTAATTATATTTGTTCGAGAATGAGTATTATTCTATTTCAGAATGAGTCCAACCATAGATGTACCTATCTTTAGATACATCTGGTTGTGTCATATACCTTCTCCATTAAAACGGGGTTAATAGGATGAATGTCTATCACTTACAAATAGGGTGTCAAAATTTATTTTATTATTAAAAGTTATTTGTAAAGTTTTTATGGTTTCTAAGTATATCACAGGTACCTCCCATACCTATTTTTAAAGCAAAAATGACATTTATACTCTTTCTTTTCCTCTAGCTTGATTTTCCATCGTTATATTTTCTTTTATTATACAAATTTATAAAATAAAATGTACGCTCCCATCTTAAATCAAAATTTTTTCGATTATGTATTTTTGAAAAAAAGATTTTTTTTGGAGAATGTTACAAAAGAAAATGAAAAACAAAATATTATGTACAAAATAAAAAAAATAATTGAAAAAGGTAATGAAAAGAAATAAAAATATAAAAAACGGTCTTTTTCTTGAAGATATTGAAAAACAAATGGCATAAATGTCATTTAATTCTAAAAATAAGCATGAGAGGGCGTTTGTGCACAATTTAAAAATCACAAGAATTTTACAAATAACTTTTAAAATAGAGAAAGTTTTGGTATTCTTTTTGTAAACCACAGGGGGCACCCATGCTATTATCTCTCATTAAAACTATACAAATACAAGAAAACCACATTGTACTCCCTCCCCCCAATTTGAATCTTTCCGATCCGCGTTACGATGTTTGACCAACTTTATTTTCAATTCAACTTATTTCATTGTAGGTGTAAAATTAAAAAATAAAAAGTTATATGTTAAAAAACTACATCAAAAGATGTACAAAACTAGAGTTGACATGGTTATATTATTTTATCAAATGAGTAAAAAAAATCGGAAAACAAAGTATATAAAGTTTGACCTTGTAAATAGTGTATGTAAAGATTCAAATAAGACGGAGGGAGTTATTTAATTACGGGGTATTAATGAGTGTTTCTCTCACTACAAGAAAACTGTCGATCTGCCACGGACAATTGTTGTTGCAGAATTTGAAATTCCGTGGCAGATTTAGAATCTGCGATGGACCTGCAACAAAATTATTCCGTTGCAGAAAACTTGTGGCAGATTTAAAATCTGCGACAGAACTGAAAATCCGTGGCAGATCTGCAACGAACCTGCAACGGATTCGTCTATTTTTGCAACCCAAAAAATCTGCGACGGAAGTCCACACACCGTTGCAGATCTGCGACGAAAGCAGCAACGTACTACTCCGTCGCAGACCGCCTGATCGCAGCTACTAGTTTTTGCTGTTTTTTGGCAGTACCTATTAAAATTGGGGGCAAAACACATTCAATTTTCACACATAATTCTAAGCAAGATATTAATACGAAATACATAATTCAAAACTAGATTAATGAAAACTTCACGTGCAAATGTAACATAATTCATAATATTGTAAAAACACTAAATATTAAAGTGTAGTGTCAAATGTCAAAGGTGTCAACAAATTCCGAGCTGCCCTGCACCTCCCGGTCCATCATCATTGCCTCGTGTAGGAAGGTTACCACCGAACACAAGTAATCGAAAGCTCTCTCAAGATTGTTATAAGCAGCACGCAAAGCACACATGACTGCCTCCCGGTCCCTATTGCCCCCGCCAATTTTAAGAATTTCTGGAATTGTGGACTCTAAGGTACTTCCTGCTACAAGGTTCGATACTGCTTGATAATAGACATCTGGCTCAGAACTGAGCAAAAATAAAAACAAAAACAAAAACAAAAATTCCTTAAAAGGTAATAGATAAAAAACCAAATTGTGGTCTTGAAACATAAACTTTGGGTACATATTAAAATTTACTGTAAAACAAATGTAAGACAGTTTCTCACACAGAAGAAGCCGAATTTGGAAGAGTTGTGGCAGATTCGGGAGCAGAATGTGGGAGTGTGGGCTGCACATGAAATTAGAGCAAAATTCATATTCAAAGAAGAGTTGCACAACTAATCAAGATATAAAACGTGATTATATTATAGGGTTCATAC